TTTATACATTACCGGACTATAACAGTAGGGTATGTTGTTTGTTTTGTATTATTTTTTATATGGCGCTCGATACTTGAGATATGAGAGATGATTGATTTGGGTTGCATAGGTTGGACTGCATAGATGGGGGGGCGTTCACTTACTCACCATGGCGATAGATGACATTTGGCCTGCTGTCTAACAATGTACGACATACCACCTACAATAGAATCAATTGAACTGAATGATTCCGGCAAATCTCCTCTCATCTCATCAGCGTAGAGTACCTAAGATAGGTATTTTAGGTACGGTAGGTATGTATGTAGAGTATACTATAATATGGATCCACGCCAAAAATCCGGGTGGTAGGCTCCCCAACAGCAAAATCAAAATTTTGTAGCCACAGATCCCTCGGTAGAAGGAAAGAAAAAGAAAAGAAAAAGAAGAGATGCGCAAAAAGATCATTTGCTGATGTTGTTGTTGTAGGTCCGCCTGGGGATCGAACCCAGAATCTCCTGATATGATCTCACATGATGTGAATCGTAGTCAGACGCCTTACCATTGGGCCAACGGACCTGTTATTTGATGGGAGAGACTGCGGCTGAATCGTATATGATAGCTAAAATTTTGGTGGGGATGTACTGCGACGTTTCGGCGCGTTGGGCAGTTTCATGACGGTAGGGATTGGAACGTGTTGGACATTCGGGTATTGGTGTTGTACTCTATTCGCAATGTAGGTATACGTATATCTGTCTCTTGTAGACGTTCAGTCCGCTCTCTCTCTCTCTCTCCCCTATCTGGTACCTACAGTCGCGAGCAGTGTGTTCTTTCCGAGTTCTAGGTAGGCATCGTTCGGTGCCTCGACTCTACCTACATATGAAGAACCTCTCTCTCCCGTCTCCATGCTGTATGATGTCAAGTCTGCACGAGCTACATAAACTAGCACATCACCAATAGACAAAAGCAGGTTGGTCAGCATTGAGAAATAAAAGCGCAACGCTCATAGGAGGAGGTAGGCCTGCAAGAGGGTTTCGGAGTATACCTCCCCTGCTTACGGATCACGTCGCTTGTCGCCACGGTTATTGTTCTCCTTTGGGATTTAGTTTTTACACCCGACGTAAGACAATGATCCGCGTAGTTTCTTCGGTAGAACACAGGTTCTCTGCTGTCGTGATAGGAGTGTACCTTCTCGGGAAGGGGCCGAATGTTGGTGGTCTTAGCAAACGATTATGGACAGGACGGATAGGATCTGTTGACTGCACGTTTTTGAGGTTGGCGAGGTGAAAACGGGACCTCTCAATTATGCCAAGACGCGGTCAGCTTGGTCCAAGAGCCGAGAAAAAAAAAAGCAATATTGCTAGGAATGGCTCCGAGAGGATACTTCTACAAAGGTACGTATCTGATTGAACTTGGACGAGGGTTTTGTTTTATCGAGGCTTCGAGCGACCGCTTCCCGCAGAAGCTAGCAAAGGCCCGCGGAGCCCGCACAGCGATCCGCTCCTCCCGAAGAGGACCTTTGACATCGCGTACTGTGTGATGGAAAACATTTCAAGATGATGCTGCTGTTGATCTTTTTGGATGCGGAGGATAATGGGCGATCGTCGTGGTTAAAAAGTAAAAAGAAGAGTTCGCAGTCCGCTAGGGGTGGAGGAGACTTTTTCTTTCGCGTGGCCACTAAAATCAAGAGAAACTGGATAGGGCGCGGTTTCGGAATCGACTGCAGTAGTGATGTCGCAAACAGCTATTTTTCTTCTGGAGACCTACCTATTATAGGTACCCTCCTCAGGCGGATCATGATCTGATACTTTAGAGATAGATGGACGTATCCCTTCTAGAGGGATGACTGCACGCCCCCTATGTGCATTTCTGGCCTGACCGTACTGACAAGAGATACAAGAAGGCATCACAGACAGACAGTACAGTAATACTTCGAGCAGACGCGGATCGGCATCCTGTCGCTATCGATAGCACCTCGGAAAGGATTGCCAGACTACCTGGTATCTCCTAGCCGACACTAGAGCCCATGCGATCCTTTCGGTGTACGGTTGGACTTGATAGACATAGCCCTACACTCGGTCTAAAGCCAACTATTGGGATCCAGTTGCGCGCTGCGCGGACCTCGAAGACGCTCTATCGCCTCGTCATGAGGGCCAGCCTAAGGCTCGTTGAACTCTCTAGGATATGTCCAAGCAACTGACGAAAAGTCCCTAGACACTGCGCAGACGGCCTCCACAGGCCCCACCACTTTCTTCTAGTCTGCGAGACAAGCTGCAGCGATGCTTCTAGCTCACGGCTCATGTCCTACAGATCCGGCACTCGCCTGACAGAACGGAATCAAAAGTGGCTCGCATTTCGAGAAAACTTGCTGAACCTAGTGACAACTAACCAAACAAAACTTGCGTAATGATGCACAGGTAAGGCAGATTCTTATGAACGCTTGCAACGGTTTTCGTCTCCACACACCATATCCATGTCCCACATGGTCGAAAGCCCATCATAGCAGCCGAAATTCCCGCCATGCCAAATCCAGAGTCCGGCCGAGAGCTTTGTAAATCTACAAAAGATAACATATAGTAGCGATGCGAACATCTCGTCGATTGTTGTTGCTGTTGTTGTTGTTTGTTGTTCTTGTTTGTTGACACTCCCAGGACCATCCATCATGCAGCTCCTCGCCCCGATCCTATTCGCAAGCAGCGTCGCGCTCGCTCAGCTCACCGAAGAAGCATGGCCTTTCCAAGCACCTCAACCAGGCGACCTGCGCTCGCCCTGCCCAGCTCTCAATGCTGCCGCAAACCACGGAATCCTCCCTCGCAACGGCCGCGATATCGACCTCGAAATGCTGGGCGCTGCAGTCCGTCTGGCATACAACATGACCTATGATGCCATGTTAGTCGTCGGAGAGCCGGGCCTGACGACTTCCACGACCGGAAATGCTTCGACTTTCCACTTGAGCGATTTGGCGCAGCATGAGCCTCAGGCTGTAGAACATGATGGCAGTTTGACCCGAGAGGACGCGTATTTTGGACGAGGGAAACCTATTCAGAATGACTTTAGCTGGAAAGCTTGGGGGAGGGCATTGGATAGTTGGGGAAACGCTAGTATCATCGATGTAAGTACCTACCTACCTTACCTACCTACCTACCTCTTAAGTAGAGGTCGTCCGTCCGATCCGTCCTCTCTTGGCCACCCCCCC